ATTGAATTATTTGGCAGTGCATAGAGGTAACCCGTCATGAGAATGAGTTAGTGAAATTTGCGTCCGTATGTGATCACTTGACTAGCTGAACTTTTCTGCATGATTCTGTCGTGAAACCTGTAGCTCATACTGATGGCGGGCAGCAACTGCCAAAACATTGACTAGTTCAGAAAACACACGGATAATCCAGGAGCATTTCCCAAATGGGGGGGCCCTTTCGAGTTGGATAGATTACTCGTCGCACGTGAGAAGTTGGAATGTATGGAGCCGCAGCCGTCGTAGAATGCCGTGCGAACGATAGAACGATGAAACGAGGGAAAAATGGTGTGATTGAAGGGGTTGAGTTCAGTTTGTTCGTAAACCCAACCCTGCCCTGTAAGTACACTTCGCCTTGCAGTTATCCTACTCTCCCTAGCCATGGAAGTGCTTCAAGCCACTTCTGGCTTAGACGAGCAGGAGAGCTCATGGAATTGATGTTTCAGGAGAGTATGCGTCAATGGAGTGAACGATATCGAACGGCGTCTGCCAGCCTTTTGGAAGAGTAGGAGAATTGGAGTGGATTGATCCCTATCTGCCCCCCGGAAAAGCTTTTACCCAAAATATCGATACTCCTATCACACAAAACGCCGAAAGAATATCTACACTTTTCCTTGGCCTGCCTTTTCCGATTTCCGATTTTTTTTATGCTCCTGTTCAAAGGAAAGACCGCTCTATGAGCGCTGTCAGTCTTGGACGATTACCGTTACTGATTACTCTTCCGGTGGTCCTGGAGTTCGGAGGGGACATGCGGCAGGGAAATTGCGCACTGCACCTGTAAAAACTTATCCTTTCTGCCCCATGCCCGGTCATAGAGGGTATCAGGACGAGCAGAATCAACGCACCAAGAGTAGTCAACCGTATGCCTCACAATCGCAATGTCAACTTACAATACCCTTTTACAATCACTCAGGGCAGGAGGTGGTGTAGTGACAAGTGGCGCGCTTACCACTCGCGCGGTCCTGGGTTGAATCCCGGCTCGACTCCCGCCCAGGCCAACCAAGCCTTCTACCTCCTCCCGCACCCGGGGACGGTAAATTGGTACCAGATTCGTCTGGGAGGATAAAACACTGACTTGTACATCGGCTGGCCACCGCAAGTCATTGTATAGGCCACATCGCATTCAATAAGCCACTACGATTCTGAATGGAAGTAGAATGCGTGCCGCAATCCCAAAAAGTTGATCAAGCGGCGAGGACTTCCTCTTCTTTCTCCTTATTGTCACTGATAGGTGTATTCCAGTAGATCATTGCTGCGGCGACGCGGCAAAAATGAGATTCTTAGCAGCGTAACGTGCGTAACACTAGACCAAGGCCATACTTATTTTACGTGGAGGTGCTGAAATATGTCAAGTCGGCTAGCAAGGGAACACTGCTAGTTTCAGCGCGTTGCTGCAACCTGGATTCGCTAGGATACACTCATGTCTTTTGATTATCTTTAACTAATACTGTTTCAGTATCACAGCAAAACGATGTTTTCCGAAGTTTACAAGTTCTGAGGAAATCATAGTAGAGTACGTTTCTAGCTTGTTAATTCTGTACCAGCATTACTACTCCTTGTTTTAAGGAACTACGCTTTGAGACAACCTGCACTTATTTCGTTTATGAATGGAGTGCTGAATTATGTGGTTCCTAAAGAGCTGCTTTCTAGACGCAAAAGGTTTACTTAACTTCCGCCTTTTCCAGTGTCATTGTTTCCGACTCTGAAAATTGTACCAGAACTGTGTTCATGCTTCTTTCTTGTTTTAGAGGGGGGGGCGCGTGTTTCGGCGGCTATTTCATTGAGTGGTGTACTTGTGAAAGGCGGAAAGAATGAAGCGAGCAATTGTGGTTAGCGTTCACTATACTTTGCGTTCCAGGAGAAATCGCGATCCGACGCATTTGAAAAATTATGCGCCAAGCATGGGAACCGATCGACTGCGGTAGCTCACGCCAGTTGGCGCCGTGCAAAAGAGTTAGAGCGCTGTTCCACACGTCGCCGATACTAATCGCTTGAGCTATCCAAAGCGCCGTCCAAGCCATGGCTCGCGGAGTATGAACGCATAGCAAAACGGGAGAGGGGCCAAGAAAATCTAATTCGTCCGACTCGCGCGCGCGTAATCGGCGCGGCGTTTCATAACTCGTGATCGATCGCGAGCTCCGAACTTCATGTAGGACCCCGTCATCGTAGACATTCATGACTATTTTCGGTTCTGAATTGCCTGTTGTCGCCATCTACTACCTGGAACCATCGTCATTTGCAGGCGCGACGTCGCACGCGACGCCCACCAGCGCGGTGAATTACGATTCTCTTGTCACATACCCGACTGTCTTTCGTTCTACTGGATAGCCGATTCCTCATATCGATCGAATCGATCCTCATACTTTATTGGAGCGCGTTTTTCAAAAAATACCAAAATGCCAATTTTCACATTCTTCGGTTTCGCACAGCATGGCTTAAGAAGCGAATGTGCAGAGGGATAGTTTTCTCTAGTCGTAGTGAAATGAGCTTGGGGTGCATGAACCAGTTCCTTGTAGAAGTCCTAGCCGTAGGTGTTATGCGCCAAAAGGTCCCGTTTTTTACTGGAAACGCCGTTTTTGAATACGTTCACTTCAGCGCACTGATCTGATCAAGTTCATCGCCGATCGTCTTGTAGTATGGCGCAGCGGTACACGTCTCTTGGCCGAGAATGAAACTTATCCCCCCATTGAATATGGTTTGTGACGTTTTAAACTATGTAGTTTTTTGTAAGTTGATGATCGTATTTTAAGCTGTGATAGAAAAAGAGGTCAAGCTGCATCTCATGAAGTTATGGGCCTATTGCGACAATGACAAGTACCTTACTCAGGCGGTGCTTGATGGCATCTCTGCTAATTCTGACTCATTTCTTTGCCCTCTATGCCCTGCATTCTCTTAGGTATCGCATTTTTTTGCTCTGCGAATCAAGGTTTTTGCCTTACTCATATTTCAGGACTCAGACAAAGATTGGCATGCGTGATGATATCGCTAGCTTCTACTATATCCATACGTACAATGAGATCAAGCGACATATCGTGAGCACCACTTCTTTGACTGAAGTTTTCCAAATTTTTTACATGACTTGAGTCAAGTTTTCTTTTGTAGCCTGTAAAGAGCGAACCTGGGAAGACACGGACCTTCAGTATGTGTTCCGGTGATGATTCAGAGACGTTTGCTATGCCTCCAATCAAGGTGAAACTTAGCAGTGAATGGCGGACTACTTTTTGAGAGGGTCAGATCGAAGGCTCCTTCGCTATCGCTTCTGCTATTTTTGTTTAGTCGGAAACTCCTGCAAAACATCACACTCCAGGAGACTCCAACGGAAT